ACTGAATCATGTGAATTTCGTTTTGCCCACCCGCGAAGCAGTTTCTGTATAATCAGACTCACAGATTAAATTCTTAAAGGAGATCATGCTCATAAATTTCGCTTATTATTCCATTTGGGTTGCAAGAGCACCAGATTCAGAAGGTTCATTACACTGGTTCCTGTTTTCAACCAATCTGGTAAGCTCTACTAGATTCCTAAGTCTCGAAAATCAAGGATTCAACAATTCTGAAGTGCCCAGCTTTCGATCTGCCACTTAGCTGCCTGCCATGTGGTACTGTAAAAAATATTAGCTTTGCGAGTTTTTTCCTAATCCTGACTGAGTATCCAAACTATTGCAATTCCCATCTCTCCGTTTAGATGATGAACGGCGCAAAACAGTGGATCTTTGACTGTCTTGTTCCTAAGTCCATCAAGTCTCATCACATCAACAGTCCTTCAAAAGAATCTCATTTCATCCCCCTTGTCCCCTGTGGCTCACTCTTTCATTCAGCATTTCAGCATTCATGACAATTGATAATTGAAGGCGCACAGACAGACTTAGAAACAGATAGCTTTGCATTACTAATCTGTTCTTTTTTCATCACTACAGATAAGTTCACCTATCGAATTTCTGCGCTGGCTTGACGATTTCTGTGTCTTTTCTGCGTCCTCCATGTCGTCCTTCGGCATTATTGCACTGAGATACTTAAACTTTTGGAGCGGCCTCGGTTACACTCCAGTAATGGACAGAACACATTCAGTGGACATTTTAGAGAACGTAAAATCTCCGCTGCAGTCATATTATGTCCATCTTGGCCTCATCACACGTGACAGCCAACTTATAAAGTGAATATTGAAGGTTTACATAGAAGGAAATGAAAGTGAACAAGACGAAATGATCCGCGAACACTATGCGACTTGTTGAACACGCAGAACGTTCATTTATGTGACGTTGTTCGTGCTGGTTTTGTGTTTACTGGTCTAGTTCATAAAAATTTTAACATAGGAAAAATGACACTCACACTTGCAAGACAAGTCAAAAGGCATCGCCTTCCTTCCGTTATTCGCGCGCAATATTACATGTACTCGTATATTTTAGCGGGGCTGGCCATCTATACGCATTCCCGCGTTTCTCTTGACTGTCTCGAATGGAGCGCCCCTCGCAGCATTTTAAAAGTTAACAAACAAGCGAAAGTACCTTGCGCACAGAAAATGTTTCTCAAACCTGATGGAAAGGGAAACTCTGATCCAGTGCGCTAAAGCTGGAAGAAGTCTACACTGGACTATCAATTCTTAGCATTTTTTTCTGACACGTTGAGTTAAATGTACGAAAGAGGCTGAAATGAGAGCTGCCCCGATGTTTGCCGTCTGTCTCTCTGATACGCCTTTCTCAGCACGAAGACAACCAACCCGGACTGCCGTTCTTTCGATGCCTGCTCAAAAGTATACATAAACTAAAACGTACGAATTATTACAAGGTTATTTTTGACAGGTATTCAAGGTGAACTTTTCATTCCTAGCAGTGTCGAAAATGTTTAGCGATTCAATTGCAATGTTAGTCATCTCTACTAAGGTCAGATCAAAGTAGGTGCATTCTCTTTGATTAAGTGTTTTATTACGCGAACTTTTGACGATTATGCTACGAGAGTTTCTTCACTCTTCACCAAATTAAATGCTGCTGTCATTTCTACCTAACTATGACTATCCAAAAGTTGTACCCATCGAGGAGAAAAAATCAGTGAGTGGCTTTCAGATAATGGGCTTTCTGCTACTTCCGTCACAGTCACGAGCGCGACGCGCCGCCCATCTTTATGTGACAAATCAAGGGCCGAATCCATGGTTCAGAAATCTTTGTTCATATTTTTTCGTTTCAATGATTTACTCATTGCCTTCAGTCTCTCTCACACAGGAGAGAAATCAAGTGGTGAACCGGTTTCTTTGCTGCTCCAGTTTGGCCCGACCTGCAAAACGACTCGTCCTTAAAGCCTAGCATTCTCTTTCTACCAACATGAGCTTGAGTGGTTGGCATTGCGTTGAGTTTGCCCTGGCAGAGCTTACTACCGCCAAGTACCTTACCATTTATGTCAATTAGGTTGAAACATCGCATCGCATCCGTTTTATGAAACTCTTTT